AAACAATGAGATTTTGTGCAATTACTTACGACTGTACGGCAAAGCATTATCCAATTAAATGATAATTTGTAAAATATAGGTATATATACTGTACTTACTTTTGTCGCACTTTTTTCCCGTGAATTTTGAACCGCATTTGCAGACGTAGTCATTGACTGCAACACAAAAAACAGAGATTAGTTTAAATGGAAGATCGGAAGCGATTGGTTGGACACACGTTGCGGCAAACAGAGGCCGTCGTGAAGACAGGGCGACTCGGGAGCACAGGGGGGCCCTCCGAACTCGGGCACGTCGTGGTGTTGGAGAGCGCGCTGAACCAAATTGTCCCAAACCTTAGAGAAGAGAAGAATAGAAAGCATTCATTCATTTGAATCTTTGACTCAAACCTCGCCGTTAACGACAATTCGCTGAATAGCGCCGTTCAGAGCGCTCGTGATTTGCGCCGCTTTGTTGACGGCGTAGAGATTGTCGACTCCGCCCACGAAGAGCGGCGCCTCCAGATTGAGTTCGCTTAAAGAGCCCTAAAGACGGGGAGAGAGAGAGAGAGAAGTGGCGGAACCGTTAGTTTCCGTCGCTTACCTTCGCCTCGCCTTCGATCACTTCACTGTAAGGGAAGTATAAAGTGCGTGAATAAGAGGGATAGAGAGAGAGAGAGAGAGAGAGAGAGAGAGAGAGAGAGAGAGAGACGCACCCGTCGTCCACCTGAAGAGTTCCCGTTTTGCGGCGTTTGGTGATCCGAATGGAATGCCATTCGCTGAGAGAGATGGCTTTGGCGCTTCTGAGGGACCAAAGAATGTAAGAAAGGGTTATCTCGAAGAAGAAAAACTCACTTCAACGACAGGATTCCGCTTTGGTTTTGTCGACCGGAACCCAAATCAAAGCGGAAGTGAATGAATCCGTCGTTAATATTGAGCGCCAGAAAGTCTCCCGATTGTTGTCCGGAGTACAAGAGAAGGCCGTGAATGGCGCGCGAGAGGAACCAAACTGTCGGCGAAACTGTCAGTGAACTGATCCAAACATAATTCACGCGAACGTGACTCACCCTCAATGGTGAAGGCGTGACCGACGCCCTGAAGAGGCGGAAGTCGGAGGAAAGAAGAGCCCCAGAAGTCGGGCACTCGAACCGACGACATCTCTCTCTGGATGACTGGAAAGAGAGAAATGGTTGAACGCCGGAAGTGACGCGAGTGATGGCACTTACAGTCGTCGCAGAGTCTTCCGGTCCTTCCTTTGGGGCATTTGCAGACAAAGCCGTCGCCCTCGACGTCCACACAGGAGGCGCCCTCTGAGCAGGGGTTCGACTGACACGCACTCGTGGTTTCCGTCTCGCAGTGACGGCCAGTGAAGCGCGCGTCGCAAACGCATCGGTAGAGGAGGTGTTCGTCGGCCAAACACGTGCCGCCGTTCCCGCACTCGACGTCGAGACAGGGGTCGCGCGGAACGCACTCACGGGTGTTGACGACTCGCAGCACGTCTTTCGAGTCGCGCGAACTCAAGTCGATGTCTTTGCGACCGATTCTGAAGGCGTGAACGCATCCCACGAGACCCGTAGAGATGCCAATGTTGTCGTAAACGCGCGACTCGTCGGTCGCCACGAACCCCACGAACAGGTTTTGCGTCAAATCCAAGGACTTGAGAGCGCCGTCGCTTTTGCCCGAAACGTCTTCCTGTCCCTCAACCGACAACATGCCGTCCCATAAGTACCGTTTGGCCACAACTCGCACGCGTCGGCCCAACGCGATGGGTGCGCGCGACCGAAGAGCTACGGGACCGGAGCCCAGATTGTAGCGAAACTCGACAAACAGATGGCGCACAGAGAGCGACACAAAGTCTCCCTCTCCGGAGTCGGTCTGTCCGTTGTAGAGGAGGAGACCGTCGGCCGCGTAAGTCGTGAACTCGAGTTCGAGCGTCAGTCGCGTGTAGGCCTGGAGTCGCGGCAATTCGAGGAAAGCCTTGCCGTCGAAGGCGGGCGTCCTCTCGTGCGCCGACCACTGTTCGGACGGCTCGGTGCTCGCGAGCGCCGTCTCGTCGCGACTCACATCTCGCGTCCACTTGTCGTCCGTCGAAGTGGTCTTAAATTGAGTGGAGCGCCGGACGGGACCGGCAGTGACTGCGGAGTCTGCGCACTGGCCGTCGGTCACCACTTGAATGCGTCTCTGGAAGCGACACGAAAAGAGTTTGAGTTGACATTCGGAGCCATAAGAGTTGCCATCGGATCCGCAGACAGTCGTCGAGGGTTTCGCGCGCTCTTCGCCGCCGCACTTCTGGTCACAAACGCATTGAACGCCTTTCGTTCCGCGAGCGCGACAGACGGCGCCAAAGAGACACTTGACGTCAGCGCACGAGCCCTCCAGAGTGCGCATCAAAGAGGCTGAGAAAACGAGAGTTAAATCCGTTCTGACTTTGCGTCGCCGCAGTGCTTACCGTCGTGACAGCCGTCTTGACCCAAAACCATGCCTTCGGGACAGACGTCGCATTTCATGCCCTGAACGGCGCCCACTCGACAAACACACCGACCGGTCATCTGTTCGCAGTCGTCGCGACTCGAGCCCATCTCATTGCACGCGCACGCTATGGACGGACAGCGGAAGGGATGTGGTGGTCGTTAGCACGAGAGGAGAGAGACGAAGGAATGAGACTCACGAATGCATCCCTGGTTTCCTTCCGATATCTTGTGAAGTCCCCAAAAGCCGGCTTCGCATCGATCGCAACGCAAACCTCCGACACCCGGCTTGCAGTGACACTGTTTGGTCGTCGGGTCACATGTGAGGGAATAGGAGCCCAAACGGTTGCACTGACACACGGAAGGACAGCCCGCGTTCTGCACGCCCTGAGAGGCCGTCTTGCCATCGGGACAACACCTAAGGGACAGAAGAGTGAGACACGGGAGCGAAAGAGAGCGACAAATACCCGAAAGTGTTCTCTGAACACGTCCTCACAGCCGCCACTTCTCGGCAGCATTTGGCGAAATTGCTTCCTCTGTGGCAGAAGCTGTTGGGCGGACACGGCTTTGAGTCGGGACCGTCGCCGCAGAAGTACTCTTTGCGTGTCGTCGGGTTCACGAGCGGAGGCTCGCCGTCACAGGCCAAGAGACGCGTCTCCTGACACGCCTTCATGTCTTGGGGTCGGATCTCCTGTTGCCGACCACAAGCCTCCTCTTGTAATTTGCATTCGTTATCATACAAACGGCCGTCACTTCCTATACCCGAGAGACAAAAGATGAGTGACGACTAGAAAGAGACACAAAAGAGAGGATAGTTTACCGCAAACGGGGTCCGAGTCGTGACCAGAAGGCGGCGGACAGTTGTATCTGCGGACGGATGGAAGACAGAGTGAAAAATGGGCAAAGTTTGTGTGTGACAGACACTCACGTGCACAGACAGCGAGGAACGCCGTTTTCGTCGAACTGACAGACGCCTCCGTAGCGACACGTCTTGTGGTCGCAAACCCGCGAATATCCGCCCGAACCTGAGACCAAACAACAAACACACGTTCAATGGGGGAAACAGAGGGAGAGAGAGACGAGAAATACCGGATCCGGAGTCGACGGTCGCGTCTTCGCCGCAAAGGCCAAAGAACTTGACGCCAATCTCTTTGTTCTGACGACAGGCAGCGCTCGTGAGCTGACGTATAAAAATAGAAATGTCACGAATGGCCACAACATTATCGTTTGGATGTCCAGCCGTTGAGCGCACTCAGCATTCCTGTACATCGAGAGCAACAGAAATGTTCAAACCTGACATTCGTTGTCGTAAGTAATGCCGTCCGACCCGCAGACCACTTCCTCGCGCTCTTTGGGACAGTCTGTCGGACAAACGCATCGTCCGGACTCACAGCGCGCGCCGTACTTGCAATGAACTCCGTGGCACTGATCGCACGGCCCTCTGGAGGCCACTGTCACCAACTGTTGGCGCTGACAGGCGCTGACCCGAAGCGCGCACTCATTCTCGTAAGTGACGGAATCGGAACCTAAGGATGACGTCATGGGAGACATAGAGAGAGTGGAGAGAGAGAGAGGCTTACGAACCGCAAACGGGGGCCGAGACCTGTGCGCGAGAAAAGTGGTCAGAAGTGGACAACAATAGTGAGGACTCACGTGAACGCAGTGTTGCGGACAACGACAGGAGGCGCCGTCGCCATCGGACTCGCAGACGGAGTAAAACTGACAGTTCTTGTGTTCGCAGCCGTCTGTCGAGAGAGAGATAAGAGGGATTAGAGGAGGGATTAGAGGGGATTAAGGAAACTGATAGATTGACTGACTGCAGAGCCCGGGAGAGAAAGCCATGTCGAAGGGCTTGTTTTGTTGGCAGAACTCGCGACGGAGTTTGCATTCAGACCCGTAAGAAATGCCGGCCCTTAGGAGTGAAGTGTGAGTGTTGACAGAGAGGGGAAGAGAGCGAGACTTACGCCGAGCAGACGGGAGAGAACTCTTCGGAGCACTGCTGGCACTCGCAGTGGTGTTCGCCGTTCGCTTTGACCACACATTGGGCGCCAAACTGACAGACGACGCGATTGCAGGGGCCGTCGTCTCCTGGTTTAGGGAACGCACAGACAGTCAGCGGAAAGTCAATTGGGGAGAGAGAGAGAGAGAGAGACCGCAAAGTCCAGAGTGTTTGAGAGAGACGTCTTTATGGAGAAGACAAGACTGGCGCTGAAGATCGCACAGAGAGTCGTATTGGTGTCCATCGGAACCGCAAACGGGACGCAGAACTGGCGGACAGGGGGGCGGACACTGACACGTGGCGATCCCGTACCGATCGATGTCACATGACTGGTGGGAAGAGCACTGAAGGGAAGCGCATGGATTGGACTCTGGAGGAGGAAAGGGTCGATGAGAGAGAGGAGAGAGCAATGGGCGGCCTCCGCGGCAGTACTGACCGACACATTTGCCCGAATGAATGATGCGAAGAGTGGTGCGGGCTTTGCAGGCCTCGACGCGAAGCACGCACTCGTTTTGATAGGTTTTTCCGTCGGAACCACAAACAGCTTTGAAGTCTGAATTGCAGACAGCATTGCACCGGCAGATAGGGTTCCGGCGGTCGTCCAACTGAGTGATGATTATTATTTGAGTGATATTTAAACGTGTATTCAATTGAATGGATTGGAAAATACAATACCTGACACACTTGGGCGGCCGGACACTCAACACCATCGCACGGGTCTGCGGGGAGAGAGAGGGCAGTGAGAGGGCAGTGGACAGAAGGAGAGACTGACCGCAAGCGCCGGAAAACTTGACGGAAATGTCGACCATTTGTCTACAGGAGTGGCGCCGGAGTTCGCAGACGTTGGCGTAATCGCGGCCGTCAGAGCCACAAACGGGTCGACTGCCACGCGAATCACCGTAAGTGGCGCACGCCGTCGGACACACGCAGTCGGCTGAGCGGCCGTCGAGTGACGCTTTGCAGAGCGCGCCGTTTTGGCAAACTTTGTCGAGACACGGGTCCCTCATGTCTGCGGGAAATTGATAGCACGCGTGAGTTACGGGAGCCGAGAGGGCGACGAGCAGAGGGAGGAGGAGGAGGACCGCCATCTTTGGTCAGAGGCGTGCGGCCATTGAGAGAGAGAGAGAGAGAGAGCGAAGTCTCGGCGCGCATGTGCACTGCAGTGAAGACGACTCTCGTCTGGCATTCAATCGATTCGCGAATGAATTGAATTTTTGAGACATTTCTCTAATTGAATGAAAGTCTCGCGGAATTGAAGACATATTTTGCAACTCTTTTGACAAAAGAAATCATTTTTTGGATCGATTCGCGCGCTCTGCTCGACATTCTTGCGCCAAATTGTGTCCGAATTTGATTCAAAGCTTTCGAAGCATTCATTTGAATGCAATATTGAAAGCAATTTCTCTCCAATTTCTCTCTCTCTCTCTCTCTCTCTCTCTCTCTCTACTCTCTCGTCGCTCTCTTAACTCGATTTGAGGCAAAAAGCGCTGCAATTAGAGTTCATTTCAAATGTTTGCCAAACATTTGGTCGTCGAGAGTGTGAAGAGAATTAGAGAGCCTTTCGTTTGGCCAAAGCTTTCGCGGACTTTATATGAGTTTTGGAGCAAAGCTTTTATGCGAAAGATTTATTGATTTTTATATTAAAGCGAAAGAGAAGTGAAGTGAAGATAATTTGCGTTTTAAATGCTTATTAAAAATGATTTCGAAAGCAATGAAAAAATGATTTAAAAGTCGTTAAAAAGCGCTTAACGAGTGCTTACCGCAGGAGCCCGAGTGCACGACAGATATGCGGCGCTGTTCCTGACAAACAGTTTTGCTGAGCATACAGGTCGACGTGTAGGTGACGGCGTCCGAGCCTAAGGGGCGCACGTGAGGGCATGAGAGGCGGGGGTCCGAGAGAGGGACGGACGGGACTGACCGCAAACGGGCGCGAAGACGTCGTCGTGACACGCGTTGTGACAGCGACAGAAGGCCTGTTTGGAGAGCGGGTCCTCTTGACACTCGGCGCCGAAGGCTGAGAGGAAGCGAAAGAGGTTTGAGTTGGGATTTGAGGGCTTTTAGCGCTGAAAGCAAACAAACCGCAAAACATTTCGAGACATGAGTTGTCTATTGGGAGCGCACGGAGAGAGCATTATTGATGAGTTCGGAGGAAAGTTCGAGACTTACTGTGGATTTGAGAGCGAAGAAAGTCTTTGATTGAGAAAAGGTTAAAGAGATTAAGAGATTAAGAGATTATCCCTTTTGTCTGTTTAAGAGAAGATAAGAGAACTTACAGTCGAGCAGAACGAGCGAAGAGGTGGCGAGGAGTGCGAGAGCGAGAGCGGCGGCGACGGCGACGGAAAGCACCCGACGCGACGCCAGGAGTGGCGGCGGAGAGAAGGAAGACATGACGTGACTCTTCATGACTGAGCGGAAGACTGAGAGTTGGAGTGCGAGAGTGGAGTGGAGTTTGGTTTGGAAGAGGGGAGGGATGCGTGGGACGCGTGAGCGGCACTACTGTTATCACCTTTTGGTCAAATGAGGCTTATTTTCGCTGAAAGAGAATTCGATTTTTCAAAAGCCTATCATTTGTATAAAAGATATCATTATTTCTGCGATTATTCACCGATCGATGGCATCGCGCGAACCCAAGCATTGTTTCATTCAAAGCAATGGACAATGAATGCAGCGAACAATGAGTGGTTCGCGCGACAGCTGTGGCGCGGATTCAGTGATAAATTGCGCTTTAATTGAGTCGAAAGAGCGCGCAATCAAAGAACTGTTTGGCGGGAAAAGAGAGCGAAAAGCTTTTTTGGAAAACAGGTGTCTTTTCTGTCACTTCTGCCAAACGACCGCTTCTTATGTCATCTTTCGTCACTTCACGCGCTCCGCACCTGAGCTTCCGATTGATTTTCTGTCAAACGCGCTAACAATGCGTCCGCAGATTATCGCGGAATCGATAGTCGTGCAGAGTGTCGGCGCACTCTCGCGCTCTCAACGCTCTCTTTGCTGTCTCTCCACTGCTGTCTTCAGTCGCGTCCAAACCTCTCAACCGATGCGTCGTCTGTCCGCCGAACACCGCGAGTCGTCGTCGCCGCCGCCAGAGACCCACTGGAAGCGCTGCGACGCGCGAAGACGACTTCTCATCGCTCTCCTCGTCGCCGGAGTTGTCGTCAGTGGCGTCCAGTCCTTTCCCTTCTCTCTCACACTTCCTCTCTCTCCACAGACTCTGCTTTTGGTGGGCTTTGGAGGAACTGTCGCTTTCATTCGCTGTAAGCTTTTCCTCTACCAAAAGCTTTCAACCCTTTCTGTGTGTCGTATCCATGGAAACGCAACTTTCAATTAATTTTAATTAACTCTCAGACACGACGAGACTCAAGACTACGGTCACCGAAGACGTCGTCTGTCGGCTCCACGTCTGCGCTTTCGGCGCCCGATGTCGTCTCCACACCACCACTGGTCAACCCTTCTGTCGGTGCGAACACGTGTGTCGCGAGGAGGACGGGGAGGTCGGGGACGCCGTTTGTGGTGAGTGCAGCGCGCGATGAGAGCTTTGCTGATTGGGTTTTGCCGCTGACAGGAAGTGACGGAAAGCGATACACTTCCGGCTGTTTGTTGGAAAAGACGGCTTGCGTTCAGCAGAAGAGGATTCGCGTCGAGAGTTGTGGTGAG